TTTCCTTCTCTTATTTGGAGGTCCAGGTGGTTCAACAGCTGGTTGTGTGTTCAACAGCTGGTTGTGAGCTTTATTTTGGATCAGTTAAATGATCATGATCTGATTTGCCCTTACCACTAAACTTTTTATTTAATATCACAGATTCTTCATCATCTTCCTCTGCTTCTTTACCAAATGATAAAAGATTGAAGTCTCTGTAACAAAATTTTTCATTACAAAGAATAATACTATCAGGCCTAAATTCTGCAAACATATATGATTTTTACTTTACCACTGCTGTTTTAGTTTTTGAACTGTCCTTTACTTCTGCACTTTTCTGTACTATTATTCTTGATATAATAACTGGATTGAAAAATGGATTGTTCAATATTTTAGTTTTTATCAATCTTGGAGGATAAAGTAGTCCATCATTCTACAAAAAAGGAGGAAATATTATACTGATATCAATTCTTGTTCTATTTTCTTGTAAACGTTAAAATTACCTCATCGACAAGTGCTTCTTCACGTTCAAACATGTTATATATAGATTCTCCAGTAACTTTACCAAAGATTGTATGTTTATTCTGTAATTCTGGTGTAGAACTAAAAATAAAGAAGAATTTGGAACTGTTGTCATCTTTTCCAGCATAAGCCATAACAATTAAAACTCATGGACGAAAACATAATCTTGTATAAAATTTGTCCTAAAACACATATATCCAATAATTATTTTTCAATAAAAAAGCAATTCATTTTATTTTTAAATATAGTCTCACCTTAAATGGTTCTCCATATATTTTACCACCATCTCCTGTACCTGTGGGATCACCACCTTGTGTATGAAATATAAGGTCATGGTAATAACCTTCCACACATAATTGTATAAAATTTCTACATGTCTTTGGAGTTTCTTTTGCCCGTAATTCTAACTCAATATCACCAACAGTTGTTTTCATTGTAACCTAGTTATGACAAATATATTAGCTTTATTAATGTAAAATACTTTTAAAATCAAATTTATCGAAATTTATTATTTATTATTGTAATTCAAATTAGAAGTTATTTAATATATTAATGTAGAAATTTAGGAAATAAATATAGTATATATATTTTTAAAAACGGATACACAATCAATGAAATATTATAAAATGATACTTATTACTTTACCCTTAGTGGCTGGCTCTTGCATATAAATATTACTCATGCTTGTAAGTCTCCTACAATAAAAAAAAATCTTTCGTCAATAATATTTCATATCAAATCTCTAGTCATCTATAAATCAGTCAACCAAATGGTTCTTATCTCGAAAAATCATCAGCAGGTAAGACATACCTTTTACCTCCTTTTGACATTTGCTTTATTGGCCCAATAAAGTCCATGCTCTGCCACAGCTCCATTATTCTTGCTGCTTTTATATTTTCCAAGTTCCCATAGATATTTCTACACATTTTTGCCTTAATGCAACATTTACACAGTATATTTAAGTTATCTTTATCTTTAATAACTATTACCACTTGTTCATTCTCCATCTCTTCAATGAAACCCATATTTCCATGTCGATGCCACACATTTTTCTCTGTTGATACATAAGCAGCCTCTTTTCTCTTTCTTGATTCCGCATAATATGCATTCCCTCTTCTCACTTCTTTCATTCGAGCCTCGCTCTTTTCCTTATATGCCTCAACCCTGTCATTCTGAAATATAACATATTAGTACTATTCAACGACATTTCTCTATGTAAGGGCTTAGATTTAATTTTCTACGTTTATCATTTAGCAACATTCAGACTCTATATCTGATTTATCTTTACCTTTCATAACTATTACCGAGTATTCATTCTCCATCTCTTCATTGATCCTTATATTAATATGTCCTTGCCATGCATTCTTCCCCGTTGAAACATATGCTGCCCCTTTTTTGATTCTTGATTCCGCAGAATATGTGTTTCCTCTTCTCACTCCTTTTATTCGAACTTAACACATTAGCGATGATCACTGACTTTGACCACTCATATTAATATTTACTTAGATCAGGATTACAACATACCTTTCAGTCTCACTGTATTCTCCATATCTTGCTGTTATAAGAGGCCATCATCAAAATTAATTGTATTCCTTTTTGTCTGCCTAAACCATCTCCATTTTCTGAATCTTTATTTGACTATTAAGGATTTCTATCTTGTATGTCACACGGTTAGCCAACCTAGAATCCAATAGGCGTATCATACTTTACGTATTTGTATTGCTGCTTCAATCTTTTCTCGTTATAAAATATAATTTTTGGCATCTACGCTGATGATATTTCATGTGTCGAATATTTTTCTATTGTTGCACGTGCCTGTTTATTCCAACGGAATATTATCTTTTCGCAACCAAGCTCTGCTATCACTGATGAAAGGTGGAAAAACAATGGTTCGTAACTTACACTATTTGATTACAACTAGAGGATATGTTGATACAAATACTTAAATTCTTTTCGTGATACAGGCACACCTGCATGGACACTACAATGCTTCCGGCGTTTGTTTGCAATTTTTTCTCATTTCCTATCCACTCTCCTGTTGACTTGGAGAAAAATTAACAAATCACTCAATTTCTATGATTAATTTATGAAATTTTATAATTGCGTTGTAAAGGCGTACCTTTGCATATTTGTCGTCCGTCAGATAAAGAAATGAATGCTGATTGTTTAATTAAAACTGCTGTTTGGGCTGAATTTATTAAAGAATGTAGAAAACTTTATGATTTGATTTATTATAATATATTAAAATATATTAGGAGCACATAACCAGAGTTAGTAAACTATTCGTGCGACATCAGTGCCACCTGTGATTTGAGACTCGAAGTTCTAGTTACGCAACGAGATGATAGATGGCTCTGATGTTACTCGAATAGTTTACTAATTCTGGTTATGTGCTCCTAATATATTGTAATAAATCAAACCGGCAGTGTAAAATTCACTAATTACACAATATCTGTGTTTAATTTATGAACTTTTGTAATTGCATCGTAATAGAGGATCCTTCAAGAACTTTCCAATATATTTTTCGATATAAATTTGTCCCTAATTAATTAATTATTAATAATTATTCTAGGCAGTGTTTGAATTGTTGTCGAAAACGCCATTGGTTTTTCATTAATTACTATCCTCTGGGCAATTAATTTATGAAAAACTTCATGCACGCATTATAAAGTTAATGTTCTTGCGAATCTTCTCATGTAATTTTTAATCACATTTTGCTTCTAGTTTCGTTTAGTATTAAATATCTTCGCAGAAGTTCGTTATGGTCGTCGTTACGAAATCGTGGACCCAATCAAACAATAATTAATAACTAACAAATTAGCGTTAAATTCTTTGCATATATTATATAAGAATGTTGCCTAAAGTTCCAGCTTTGCAATGAAATTATAAAAGTTCATAAATTAATTACGGAAATCGAGTGATTTATTAATTTTTCACTGTTGGAGCCCTTCTATCCTTTCCTATCCCCTCTCTGTCTTGTCCTACACGTAACGAGCTCTTCGACGACCTCCTCCCCCATTCTATATTCCTATTACTTTTCCGAGCTATGGTCCAAAATCATGGATGGCGTTGATCCCAGGCGGAATAATTTTTATTCGAACTACATACCTCTTCTGGTTATGTGCTCCTAATACAGCTTTATAGATCAATTGGACAGTAGAAAATTAATAAATTTCGAAATTTTTGTAATTAATTCATGAACATCTTTAGCTGCACAGCAAAGTTGGAATTATAGATAACATTCTTATACGATGTTTAATTTAATAATTAATGCTTACATGGGCGATAGGTTTTGCATTTCCTGTAGTAGATAAGATTGCTATAGAAAAGTGTTTTTCTTGCATAATATTCTTATTATTTTGTAACAAATATATACTAGCATACGAAAGCGTAAAAAATAAATTTTTTTATTAAGAAATTCTATTTACAATTGTTTATTTACAATGTTTTTATAGGCGAAAAATAAATACAAAATAAATTGAAAAAGCTATCATCACATGCAATCGAACCCCAGGCCTCCGTCATAGGAATTCTCGACTGTTGCCGTTACGCCACAGCTTTAGTTGCAAACGATTGAAAATAGACTCATAATTATGGTAATAATAAAATTTTAATCGTAAATATCTCAAAAATTATTAACTAGTTGCGGCTATAATGATGTATTTTCTTAAACTGCACGACGATATCTACAAACCTGTAAAGTTTCAACTAAATCGGTGACCCGAAGGACTTGCACTCTCCTTGTAAAAGAAATGGTACAGTTTGGACTTCGACACAGACAGTTATGTTATCGATCATTTATTGTATCGATTATTCGATAAGTACACTACATCAATATCGATAATATCGAAATCGAGAAATTATCTAGAAGCAACTCGAATGGGAAAAGATGATGTTCGAAGAATTGGAAGTAATTTCGAGGGAAAGAACAAAGAAGCGAACAAATCATATAATTTATTGTTAAATTACATCAGTGTTGTGCTCGAACGAATATCATTGTATAGCTCGAACGACGAAAATATTAATGATCGAGATGCATGGAAATTATGCAAGAAAGCAGTAACACAAGCTCATTAGATTTTTCGAAAGTCTAAACCGCAGTATGAACCATCTATTCTCGGTAGGAAGTGAAAATGAAATCATCGAAAGCACGTGAAAACGACAGAAGCGACTGCAGCGCCGTTGGCGGCTAAAATCGAATCGAACGATAAATTCGATTGATACATTGGAACGAAGTGAGTTATAAAGTGTTCGAGAGATAAGTAGCTGGCACTTTCGGCGCATAATATCGTATTTTGTTTTATCGACCAAGTTGCTGTAGATTCATTTAGGAATCGCGTTGACAACGATGGCACGGAACAAGAAAATTTTCACGGCATTCAACAACGTTTGATTGAACAACGTTTTGTGCGTTCCAGGAACAGATCATCGGCAACCGATACGAGCAGTGTAAACCATACGAACAGTTGGTAAAAAATTTTCCGAGCTCCCGTTGAACAATGAGGCTCGTACAGCAGTTGTTTGGCAGCACGATACCAATGTTCGTAAACGTGGCTATACTGTTCTACGTTTGTCAGCGTGTAAGCAATAACGACACGATCTATCGCAGGATCTAATCGAAAAAATGGAATAATCGAGATCGTTTAGTTTCTAGCAGCTACGATATTGCGACGCAAAATCATGACAGAGATGAGAAAATTTGTCACGATCGTAACGTATACCCAATGAACGATCGATCGATCGATCGCGTGACAATCCTTCGCTAATCCTTTTCATTTATCGGCAGGTGCGACGAGCGCGGGACAACCTCCGATACATCGGCGAACGAGTGACGAAGGGAATGGACGAGGTGCGTACCGCGACACCATTTTACGATAAACAAGCGATAAAACAAGCCGTATAAAGCACGCTGTCGAATCGAACGCGATCCCAGATCAAAGACGACGTAGGTAAGGAATTGCGAATTACCAGCCGATTGACGACGCAGAGCGCAAACTTGGCATCGGTGTTACGACGTTTCGCGGATCTCGAGGAGAACGTGATCGAGGTATCGTTATAGCTTATCAACGGCAAAAACGTTTACAAGAAAAATTAATATCATTCTGCCGATTCGATGGTCACATAGTTGGTGCGAATGGATCGAAATAGGGAAAGCGTGAGGGTCGAGACTCCCGTGGACGTGAGCATGGAAATCGAGAGAATAATCGCAGCCGTCGAGAGGGAAAGGAGCGTGGAGAATCGTCAGCATCCACGAGAAGTCGAAAGGTCAGAGGAACTGATGACTACGCAGGAGCAAGTCCGTGATAGCGGTCCACGAAATCCTCTGACGAAATTCTCGGCTTGCGCACCTCGAGAAATCATCGCTGCTTCCGGTGGATCTGCCGCGACCCCCGCAATGCGGAAAACGATCGATGGCCGGAATCGAATCGGTACGACGCCAGAGGTTCGTCTTCTGGGCGAATCGAACCGGCCGCTAGGTACCGTTCCAGCAGAATCGAAACGCTAATCGTAATCGCAAAAATAAATTCTTCTTTTCATACGCGATAAAATCATGATCGTCGATGAACGGCATGGACGGAGAAGAGGTTATATCGTTATCGTTCGATAGTCGAATAGGAAATAAACATGGGGACGAAAGAGCGAGATCGTACTCGGTAGGCAAGTATCGATGAAACGCGTCGCCACGGTTTTCCTCTCAGCCGCGTCTTGACAAGACGTTCGTCCTGCCAACCCTAGTGGTCAAGTAATCGGTCATTCTCTTGACAAATCCGCTCCAGCCGACCCGATCTATTTCATCGAGGTTTCGCTTGAAGAAATTGTCGAACGCCGTCCGGTCGATCTCGTCGATGTTTCGCTTGACGAATCGTTCGAGCAACTCTCGATCGCTTGGTAGAAACGCGATCGTCTTGCTGCCAACAAACGAAACGAATACAGTGATTCGATTTTCTAAACGGATTTTGAACGTCTTACCTGTACGGCGACGGCTCGTCCGAGTCTGGTTCGAAGAGATAGTCGAGATTCCGTCGAGCCTGGCTGTTCGACGGAGACGGACGGACGCGCCGTGTCTGGTCGTTACTTAGGCTGTTCTGGTCACGCGACTTGGTCGCATCTTGAACGAGATGAAGAAGCGCGCGTTAATAACTTGCAACTGCAGTCTACCAGGCGGAAGCGATCGGGAGTAGTGAAAGATGGTGTAAATGGAAAAAGTAGAAAAGGAGAAAAAAGATTCGAGCGTTGCGAGATCGTGCACTAGTCTTTATTATTTCGACAGTTGATACACGCGATAGGAAAGGGGGATCTAACAAACTCTCCGACGACCGACGTGCGTTTCGTCGTGATGCATCTACGTCTTTGTTAGGCCGAGGAAAACCGTCTAACGAGTTTCGTCGGGTCGATGGTCCGTTCCTCTAGCGGTCTCGAATATACTTCGCACCAGGTTGCCTCCACCGATTTGGTCCAAGTTCCTGCGAGGATTGTCGTTCGTTACTAGCACACTGTCCAGGTCGCGGACCAGATTTCCTCCTCCGATATGATCCAAATTTCGCTGGCCGCGATCGACTGCCTCTCGAAGCAAATTTCCACCCCCAATTTGATCGAGATTCCTACGCGATGCCATCCAACGGCGAGAGTCGTATAAACGCGAGTCTTCTCGTTCGCCTAATCGCTCGCCAAGTCCCTCGGCTAGCCTTCTACGCAACAGGTTACCGCCACCGATGTGATCGAGGTTTCGCGAATCCCGATTGCCAGCTTCTTCGTCGCGCAGATAGCGACTCTCTGGATCAATCGATCCTTTGAACATCCGTGAAACGTTGCCGCCTCTTAACCGGGACGAGTATTGTTCCGCTTGCGCCATTTTCTCCCGTGGCAGTCCTGAAAAATCCGTCGACCGTCGTTCATTGCTAAATTCCACCAAGGATCTAGCCAACCTCACCCTTGGATCAGCCACTTCCGCCTGCCACGGAAGCATGTACAGCACATCGTACTCTTGACACACGGATCCACCAACGGGCACTTTCCTCCTCCATGAACGACACAAAAGCGGGTAATGAAGAAGCGGACGAGAATAGAAGCATAACGGGGAACAAACGGACAAACTCGTTGTCCCGAACAAGGCGAATGTGATGAACGGCGACATCACTTACCATGATCGTTGAGATACGCCCCAAAGAATTCCGGGTTGGCCGATCCGTAAAAGTCCCTTCGCAAAGGATTAGGTTCAGCCTGGAACCAAACGTATACCGTTTGATTACACGACAATCGCGGCGGGTTTATCGCTAATGCTGTACACGCGATCACCTCCGCCAATGACGGGCACGCGATATTACAACCGGGTCGATGGAAAATTCGCCGTTAACGTGATTTTCCGCGCGATTTTTCTCGCGATACGGTCGACTAGCAAACTCTCTCGTGTCGTGCTCGCTCCGTACGGCTAGCTTTTCTTCCCGTCCAGAAAACGATACATCGCAAGCTTTCGCTGAATCGTAGATCATTGTCGATGGACCTTCGCCGAGCCCACCGATCGCGATCGCGTCTCTTTTCGTCGCTAACTCGAACCGTCGCTGGTTCGATCGGTCGTTCGCCTACAACGCGACGTTTCGATGGTACATGATCGTGAACATCGTCGTTTCTCCGCTACCCGAATTCGATTGAAACTCAACGCTTACCGGTCATGGTGGTCGAGTGGAAAGAGTTACCTGCAAGCTGGGTAAGGCCTTTACCCAAACGGTTGCCGCGATCGAGAGTACCAGGATCGAGAGAGCGAAAGAAGCGTGGTCCGCCATCGTAGTCAAGTAAGTACGCGAACGAGATGCTTGCTGATTCGAGTTGGAGGATAAGTCCGTGTACGAGTACGCGAGTACTCTTGCAGCAAAAATCGCGTGCCGTGTACCGGTCCATCTGGTGCCACCTTCAAATATATAGAGGGTAAGCGGTTCGAGTGCACGGATCGGGGGGTGAAGCGATCCGAGAACGCACGCGCCGGACCGTCGCGTCGCGACGCGTCACGACGCGCCGGGACGAGTCGCTCGCTCCACCGAAATCCATTATCCCTTACGCACCGTCACCTTTGTCAACTCTATTGTCCCTCCATTCCCCGACCCATTCCAGACTCGTCACGGCCAATGCAATCCGTGTAATGTAATATCGCCGAATCGTATTCGAACCCGGATTTGTTGCTACTCAAATTGCAATTTCGAAAAGGAATAATTGCTGCAGCAAAAGGCAACCACGTCGCCTGACCACCTGCCATGCCCTCGCTCGTTTCACGTCCATCGTTCCAAGGCCATCGCGTATCGTTGCACAGTCGTCGTCAACACCCCTGGCACCTGTAACGATAAAGCGACGACACCTTTGGTACATATGTAGGTTTCTTCGAGTCCGTTTCCTACGACCGTTCGCGACTATGCTCGTCGCGTACCTCGATCGATCGTTGAAACGATCGTCGTCGATCCACACCGTCTTACGACTATATGCGTCGACGTTTTCATTCGTCACGTTTGCCAGTACGGCTGTACGTTGTCTAATCGACAAAGGAACCGGCAGGTGCGAGAAATGGAGGCAAACATAGGGCAGGGAAAATGTGGCGTGAAAACGCGCTCGTCGCGAGACCGCGATCGATCTTGCGGTATCTGGTGCAGAAAATAATTGCCGCGTGTGCGTGGGGAGTGTACGCGGCCGCGACTCGATGCGTAGATATCGGATCGAATTATCGACGTGCCGTTGACGTTTTATGAGAAACGAAGCCACTGACGAATAGCGGAAACGGCCGAAGGGCGCCTATTTCGATCCAAACCGAATCTCTCGGGGGTTTTTCGATCTTTCACGCTTCTTTCTCACCAGTCTCCTCTCTTGTCGATCCTCCACCAGATCCGCGTGAGTTCATCTAAGACAGTCGAGCTGACAATCGCCCACACGTGGACTAAGACGGTGAAAAGAGAGATGGAGAAAGAATTTCTTCGAATTCGATGAAATCGTAGGATCATGAATCGGATATGTCCACCTTCTAGAAAGGTATCGCGTAACGTTAATGGAACCTGCCCTCGTATGTCGTAAACACGGCACGATCGAATCGTCGTTTCCGTTTCCATCGTCTCCTCTTTTTGCGCTCTTGTATATAAGAAGATGCAGAAAACGAGAGACCATTCTGCCAGCAATCATCGCACGAAGCACGGCAGAACATGAAGATCTTGATTGCTTGCGTAAGTATGACAGAGTTTGCAACTACGTGGGTAGTTGCAATCGTGATTATCACGCGGAAACCTCGATCTTCGCATCAGCATGCTGAGCTACTCCGATAATCGTACACTTTCTTACACCCTTTGACGATCGTTCTTCGTATGTTCAGTTAATCCTGCGCGTGCTTCGAGTAACGGAATCATCGTTGCGGCACGACCAATGGCTGGGACAGCGGGATGGATTGTTATTCGAAACAAACGGACTAAATCTTTCTATTAATGGAACTGCTGCTCGAACAGAGAAATCCCATCTGAGCGATCGATCGACCTGGACACGCAGCCCTGACAACCCATTACTATCCGTACTCGAATCGTTAACGAAGCACCGGAAACGTATCTCCTCGGTTATCGACGACGACTCCAGCGCCATCTCCAAACAATTAGATTCGGTATGGTCTCAGATCTCGCTTGAAATACGTTATTATCAAAATAAGTCGAGTTAAATACCAAACGTAAGTTTCACACGTATCGATTAAATGATGGATCTTCCCTATTGTTCCCCCAGTCTTGTTACTGCGAGTCGCAGTACGAATTACGAGACCTCGGGCAAGGTCATTATCCAAGGTACCTGTCCGCTTCACGCTGTAAGAAGAAAACCTGTCGTAGCAAGTTTTACTCGTGTAGGCTGCTGCATTATGTGGTAAAACGTTAATTACATACCCGCTGATATCCCCAATCGTTCAACTCTTTATCCGATTTGACTTTTTCTTTTTCCCAGGTACACGTATTAAGGCTGCGCGAAACAAATGTTCAAACCAAGGATGGCTACATGATGAACGGTACGCTGCCGGAAGCACCGCTTCCAGAATCCCTCAATCGCAAGTGGCAATTGAAACCGTTTTTGGTAGCGGTTGCCTGTATATCCGACTCGGACAACAAAAGATATTGATCGCTCGTTTCTCGATGTACCATCGAATTGTTTCATCCCCTTTGTTTTTCGTTTTTTTTCGTGCTTCCGTGCCTGTCCGCTCCTTCTTCTCCGTTTAATTCTGTTAATGGAAAGTAAAAAATGAGTAGAAAGAAGGAAAGCAGAAGAAGAAAGAGGAGAAGATGAAGGAAATGGGTGCCTTTTAGCTTTTAGTAGCGTAACGATAAGCGAGAACAAAGATAAGGTATGAACGCGCGAACGCTTTACAAAGTATGGCCACTCCAGAGAGTGTTTGCGAGAGTGTTAGATCATCCGTTTACCTTAACATTCTACCCTCGGTCATACCCGTTCATTTACTTGGTCGAGTGCACTCCGCGTTAGATATCAACTCGACTAGTCTCTGCTCGCGATAGCACGATTGACAGCTACTTTACGCCTTCTGCTCTTCGTGTCCGTCTCTTTTCGATGCTTCTCGATCGATTATCGAATCGTCACGCGATACATCGAAACCTGTTTAGTCACGTGATCAAGCGTATCTCTCAGTTTCAGTCCGTTCGTTTTAGTAGCGTGGCTGTCGCGTCCGTGCAATGGCTCTCAAGGGATTAAGTCGTTCGCGGGAGAAGGTTATGTTCGGTGAGAAAGGATAAACTAAACTCATTCCTCCTTTGAGATTTTCAACAACTTCGTTGTCGTTGTCGTTGTCGTTGTCGTCGTCGTTGTCGTTGTCGTCGTCGTCGTCGTTGTCGGACGCTACGCAGGATCTCGTGAAGGAAAGGATCGGTGAAAAGTTCCGACCGGGGGCCACTTCCTGTCGTTGAAACGACTCGTCGATGAGAACATTAAACAGGGCGGGAAATTGTTTGTTTTGTTGCGTTCCGCCTGAGTGGAAAATCACTGATCGACCTTTTCAAGGCAAGGCATTGACTAATTTTAGATCATGCCGCCGACGTGCGGATCCTCATCGTCGCGAACGCTATAGAGCACTCCAGCAATCTGTTCGTGGCGTACATACCACTCACGAGTCTAGGAGTAATTAATGAAATTACTAGGCACGTTTGGTAAACCTAATAGACGGTAACGGAACACGTAACGTCGTTTATATTCGTATCGACAAAATTCTTCCCTTGTTTGCAATTTACTGTAATTAATTCGTCTTGACAAAGATGCTGTGTTTTTCAAGAAATAAATGTATATGTGCAAATACACGATAATAAACTCAATCGCTGAATTCGTGTTTTCCATTTCTTCCCCCTCCATCTCGCTCGTTCTCTCTCTTTTTGCCTTCTCTGTAAATATAATACGTATACGGGAATTTTTTTTCAACGCAATAACCTGTTTTTCAATTCGATAATATACTTTCGTTTCCTTCAATGTTCCACAGTATTTGGATGATCGCGCGTTTCTTGTTCCTAGGCCTTGGCCGAAACCTAACATGACTCGTGATAACGACGAATGGTCGCATCCGCAAAGGCGTATCTCGTTTCCGTTTGCAACTGCGAGATGGCGGCTGTGTTGCGTCCACTGTGATAACTATTGATCGATACGTAGCTGTCGCATCATTTGCGTGAAAATGAAAGGGTCGTGTATTTTGGTTGTTTTCCTGTGTTATATGTTTCCACGAGGCGTTGCAAATGCCCAATATCTTGGCAACGATTACATCGAAGGTAACGAGATAAATGTTAGGTTAATGAACCGTCTCAAACGCCTCGAGTGCAGTGTAATTATAAAACAGGCATCTCCCGCTTTTCCTAACCTCTAAACGTATTTCTTATTTTTCGCTTTTCCATCCTTCTCTCGAGGCGTTCGAAAAATTAGTCGAAGAAAATGTAATTCACGTAGAAAATGTTACAGAAGATCCACGGAATGTTTTAGCCGATTTCGATCGGTTACGCACGCTTATGCGAAAATATGCGGCCAACGATGACAGGGAAATTCGTCGAAACGTTAACGATTACGACGATGAATTGAAAAATTGGACAGGCCAATGGATGCCTCATAGGCCAAATGATCCCACCTTACCACCAAAAATATTTCCAAAAGTCGACCAGTCGAGTGTTTTGGAGTCCTCGCAGTCTCCTCACGGAGTACCGATGGGATATCCGTCGAAAAGCTGCGACGATGCAAAGGTACGTGACCTATGTATACTCGGTGATCGATGAAACGATCATCTGTCAACTATGCTTATCGAAAATGTCACGTTTTAGACCAATTTAACCTTGGATTGGGACGGCAATCCTATCAATTACACCTGTTACGACAAGAGAATCGTTCCAGATAGAAACATAATAGCGATCAAATACTGCGAACGCATCCCAAAGTATTACGTCGTCAGTATTCCTTTGTCGTTTGATATTTGTGCGTGTCGATGATAATAATTATAAAGGAGATATGTAATCAGCTTGGTTGTTTACAGGCTATACATAAATGCATGTACGAGGAAATAGAATACGACGACAATGTTCCGGTGTTGTAAGTACGCCTGTTGTTTCGTTAAAAAAAAAAAGCCATACGATCGCATACTCGTAATACTAGCTGTGCGCTATTCTTAGTGGCCCGCACAGACCTTTGTGGCCCATCTATGGCGAATACAAATTCTTGCCGAGACAGAGGTGGCTCCATAATCTCGAGGTAACCGAAATATTTAGCGAATTATGAATTTACAGAAAGAACGGTTTTATTCTTCGTTTTATCATTCTTAATTTCTCCTTTTCTATCTACCGTTTATCGTTTAGCATGGAGCGATCCTTGCATTGTATCATCCGTGCGCCAATCCAATGGAAGTAAAGCGCTTGAAAAGCTTACTCAGAGGCTGTCTACGACGGCACGTAATCAGTCCATCGAATCTGTTGGACGAGCATCGCGTAAGCACTTGTAATTACGATTTTACTTTAAGACTCGATTAAACATAAGATTTATATTTCAGCCGCTGGCTTTGGTCGCATGGGGATGTCGACTGAGCATGTCGTACGTGAATCCCAAACTGGTGGTTAAATTTATCCGCGAGCATGCTCTTCGAGGACCAGAGGAAATTGCAAGGGACGGTGATTTTTCCGATGGTTTGATACGTCGAGCTAAAATCGTGTCCGATCTCGACGATACGATGTTATGCCCGAACGCACGAATCGTTTAACGTCATCGACATTGCGTATCGACTAGTATAGCTTAGTCTTTATTATAATCTCTCTTCCCCCTTTTATTATAATACTATACGTACATGTACATACCAATGTTCATAACCTTCATTACTTATTTATTCGCGGTGTTTCCTCACCTTCTCATTTCCTTCCTCTCCCTCTTCCTCTTCCATTTCATTGTCCTATTCTTGTTTCCCATTTTTTTAATTCATTTAACGCTTTCTTAACCGTACCCCGTTCGCCCTCTACCCGGCTCATCGATCGCTGTTCGTTTTATCGTGATACATAATAGAAGAATGAATAAAAAGAAAAAAGAAAAAAAAAAAAAAAGAAAACAGATAAAAGAAATCGAAAGGTAACACTGAGTTGTATTTTTTTTTCTTTTTTGTTCAACGAACCTCCTTTTCTTTATTTTATTCGTTAATAATCGGTGTGACGCGCGGGTTCTCGAGGATACGCGCGTCGAACAACGAGGTCATAGGAGACGAATGAATGGGACGCGCAACATTCACTCCCGTTACATATTCTTGTATATTGTTCATCTTTCGAGAGAGAAGATCAATTAGTTAAATACATTGAACATCGTGTCGGTTTTTAAAATCTCTTTGCGGACCTTTGTTATCTACAGACGTATAGTAACTTCACTGTAGTGCTGACTATAATCGTTATTCCTGCGGATACGTATCTTCGATGATATATAAAATTAGGGTAAGACAAGTAACGCTATCATATTTCGGTAATGTAAAATACACTACTCGTCTACTCAATAGTAAGTCGTTAACGTAAAAGAATATAATTGTACAGTAAACGCTTCGCTCTTTTTTTCACTTTTTGTTCTTTTTTTTTTTTTTGGTTTTGTCTTTGTTGTCGCTTCGGTAGATCAATAGATCGAAGATAACTGGCATAACGCGAGGGGAAATCGGCGAATCGCGAGTGAGAAGCAACGACCACGTCCCAAAAAGTCGAGACGATGTTTGCGCGCGCGTCGATTCGGTCGAAGGAAACGAAGATCCGACGATTCGCCGATTTAGCTCTCACGTTTGTCGACCGAACGTTCGTGGGGCGCGATCCGACTCTCGTCGTACTCGACGTACCCTTTTTTCCTTTCGAAACCTATCCTTTTAGCCTCCGTGTTGCAAAGCGAGCCGGATCTATCGGGTGGTTCTTTCTGCGGGACACCTACCCTATCGTGTAGGAATGCGTGTATATACTGATATTCAGGCTCGCAGAGGCATTTATACTTTTGTGCAGAATTAGACGACGATGAAAGGGCACGCTTCTTCGATCGCGCGCGTTAGATCTTGGATAGACGCTTTAGTCAGCGCTGCAACGCAGCTCTCTTCTCTCCGTTGGATGACGAGCGCGGACCTCGCCTCGCGTTTCTTTCGTCGGACGCAGCTAGTACACGCGTTACGACGGTGGATCTCTTAAAATTATTGCCAACTTTGTACAGAGTCGATAATAATAATGATAATAACAATAATATCGCATTAAAGATGAAAACGAAATAACGATCTATCTCGTTCTGTTCTCGATTGACAGAGAGAGAGAGAGAAGTGAATGCATCCGTGCTCGCTCGACGCAAATACGACTCATAGGCGGAAAAAAAACACCGTTCATTTATTTAATAATTAATCCTTAATACAGATCTCTTTTTTTTTTCTTTTTCTTTTTCTATTTTTTTGCCTTTTCTTCGTTCTTGCGTAGTTCTCTCACCTAATAGAAGTGTGTCTACGATAAAAAGTATTTCCATACCATTGTTCAACGTGCTAAATTCTTCAAATTTTTAACTCTTTCGTGCATCGGTTTCTCTCTCGCATGCAAACATACGTTTATTCTTTCGCTCAAACTCTCTTACCATTTCTCGTTCGTTCTTTCGTTCGTTCGTTCTTTCGCTCGCTCATTCGTTCCATCGTACATTGCTCCTCTGCCTAAACTTTTCCTGTTATTTTTCGCTTTTATCTTCTTTTATCTTCTTTTTTCTTCGAAACTCTTTTCCTTCCCGTCTTCCTTTCTTTCTTTCTTTCTTTCTTTTTTACCTTTCTTCTTTCTTACTTTCACCCCCATATTCCTTGGCTCGTTCGTTCATACGTACGTGCTTTCTACTCCTTTCTCTCCCACTCTCTCATTCCCTAATTAGTTTCTCGATAATGTAAATTTATTATAATAATCTCACTTTGCCACGTGACAACCCCATCACGATCGCTCTTTATTTTTGTTCGTTTGTTCTTTTGTCTGAAAACATTCGCAAACTTACGATTTACGCTCGAAAGTGGAATTGACACTCATAAAGTTATTGAAATAGTCTCTCGAAGAGTAATAATTGCACCGATGCGACACGACCAATGTACATTTTCTTAATACTTTGTCGTGTTCGAGGTCTCTAAAGCGTTCCTTCTGCTTCGTCACGATTCCCGTTTCTTTGTCGTGTTTGCTCTCTGATTGGTTTACACTTTGGTCCGTCTGTCGGTCTAGCCTTTCCTTCGTTCGCATCGTTTTCTAACATTTTCATCGTGCAAACCCGATTTCTATCCTTCGAAATGGTATTCGTTTGACAGACGCGTGACAAACGCAGGGAACACGAGAGAAAGAAAATGGAAGAGAACAGGGAAGGATGAAAAGAAGGAAGAAGAAAGAAAGAAAGAAAGAAAGAAAGAAAGAAAGAAAGAAAGAAAGGAAGAAAGAAAGACAGACAGACAGGCAGGCGGACAGCAACGTTGCGCGATACAAGATGAAGGATTCGCTCGCTCTCGTGAAATCTCTCCTCGTGAACAAAAGGAAATCAACGAAGCCACAGGTAATATTGTAACGTGTGAACGAGAAAATTCCCCTTCCTTAATTTTTAGGCCAAAGTACGTACTATATGCGCACACCGTCAATGTTGCCGGTGATACGTACATTGATTACGAGTTATACATAAATCTATCGTGGCCCGGAAAACTTATTCGATGGTACGAAAGTAAGTTTGATTCTTCAATTCCTATCGCGAGAATCGCTACACACGAGCGCGCACGCATCGGAGAAAAACGTCAACGACGCCAGGATACGTGATTTAAAGCTAGCCGAACAAAAGGTGAACGGACTCGTATTCAGAGCAGAGGCTGGTATATACAAAAATGATGCGCACAGGGGAGAGTTCGCGATGTCCTCTCGTCTCGGTGCGGACATGCGATTCGCAACCGATCGCATTAAGGCCGATTACATGTACGCGATTATTCCTCTATGTCGTAGATCGGCATCGAACCGACACCGAGAGAGAATCAACTATCGATCAACCAACCAATCAACCAACCAACCAACCAACCAACCAACCAACCAACCAACCAACCCTATCTGTCGGTGCACGCGATCACATCGTTCTCATAAATGCGAAGCAACCAAAACTGGAGGAGGATGACCATCGAGTGTGTGTGTTTGCGTGTGTGTGTGTGTATATATATGTGTCTCAACGTATCAAGCCTTTCCCGAATTTTTCGGCTGTACATCGATTCCGTAACGTCCAATTAAGTTCGAGCTCGACCAAAGAGGCAAGCTTCCGAATAAAGCAAAGTAACGACAGGTTCTTTACGCACGATAGACGCGCGTCGCTAATCGTCTTTCCTTTTTTTTTCCGATCGATACACAGATACGAAAGCGAAGGAAAACACTCTTTGATATTGTTCCTCCTCCATTTGCTTCTCCGCTAACAACGACGACGGCGATGGCGACGGCAATGGCGAGGGCAATGGCGACGACGACGACGACGACCACGACGACGACGATGATGGCTACGTCCACGACCACAAGAAAATGCCAACCCGTTCGATTCAAGCAATCTGGTATAACGATCGTCGCAGAAGAATTTTTCTTGTCTTTTCCTTAACTGCATTCGATGATTATACAATGGATCGTGAGAGCGCAGCTACCTAAAACTAACAATCGGTACGTTTCTTCTGTACATTGCAAAGTGATTTGGAATATCATTAATTATCACCATCATCGTCCTCGTCATCGTGTCGTTCCTTTCCTTTCATCCGTTTTATCGCGTTTCTTTCTCTCTTTTTTTTTTTTCTATAATTTCTATTTATCGTTATCGGAGCATCGCCTCGCCGTCTTCGTCGTATTATCGCATTACGTTAATATCGTTGCTACAACAACGTATACAACGTGGCCTGTGTGTAGCGCAACTGTTTACTTCTTTTCCTCTCTTTCTTATATCATTCTGAAACATTAACCCATAATCTTTTAAACGCATGTACCTCAACGTTCATATAATATAATCAACAAAACATTAACACGAACGTCGCCCGTTTCTTGCTCGAAAAGCAATTATCAGACGATAGTTTACGAGCAACAGGCGCCGCGAATAATAAATTATCATCGTTAATATATTACTCTTTTCGACTGTGCCGACTAACTATTTATATATACATGTAATATGTTTTCTGTGTAAACGCGTTGCGTGTTGCATGTCGGTGTGTGGGTATGTACGTGTGTGTATGTTGGCTGCGTGACTCGTGTTTCACGCGCTCGCGCTTATATGTCGTGAGTTCTGGTATACACGGGTGTGTGTATATATACGTACGGGTGTGTTTGTGTATATATATACATATATATACACATATAGCATTAAATATGTATACACTTTGTGTAGATACGATACATCGGTATGATCCAGATTTTATCGTCAACGATTGTATTAGCGTTAATTAGTTTCCCGTAACACCTATATTTTATTATTGCTGCAGCTTTATAGATCTCCTCTTCTCTTCTCGTCGTGTATTCCTCGTCTTTACGTCCATTTTTCCCTCTTTCCACCAGCATCTTGTTTTCCGCGCCGTGACCGACCGCTACAAGGACGACGCACGCTTTTCGCGAAAGGCTCTTTTCGACTTTGCACCGATTCGTTTCTCCATATACCAGATATCACGCAAACGTGATATCGAACCGTGAAAAGAAAAAGACGAAGTAAAGGAAAAAGACGAAACGAAAAAGGGAAACGGAAAAGAAAAACCAAATTATCCGTGTCCCGCATCACGACACGTGCAAGTCCTTATAGTCGTTGTCGCCGTCGTATAGGTCTTTGTCGCCGTCGTAGCCGTAGTCGTAATACTAGTCAAAGTAATTATAGTCGTTATTGTCTTAGGATCGGTCGGTTGAACCAATTATTTCGGAAGTGCGCGATAACGTGCTCGATATCCATGAGCTGAACTGAAAAACAAAAGATTAAGAGCACGTGCATGTTTGTCGCCGTTTGTACGTGTGTGTGTGTGTGTGGGTGTGTGTGTGTGTGTCATTGGTACCGTAATGGAGAGAAAAGTGGCGAAACTCGGCAAAGATCAAGAAGAGTTTAACTTGGAAAGAAATTACGATCTACGAAGGAATACGAAGCGGTTACGCCGATCGGTCGAACGAACCCAATACCCTAATGGTGTTTCGTGCAACGCCAAGTCGATGACGCTCTACTAGTCGACTGGTCATTCTCGATTTATCGGTCAACTAAACGTCGGCCAATCGATGATGATACAACGTCGAAAGCGAGAAACAAACTACTTAGGTATACACATATTCCGTCGAACGAAAGCTACTCTAACGTTTCGACGTACTTGGAAATTCGTCCTTTGCGTTCTCGCGTCCGTCAACGATTCGCAGCGGTCAAACTATACCGGAAACTACGTTGTCTGAAACTGGAACGGTTTTTCCTCTCTCTTTTCTTTTTGCCAACGACACGCCTAGCCGAACCGTTCTGTCACCGTTACCGATCACGTAGAAAACGATAGAGATTCTCGCTTCGTCACATGCCCGTCACGATGGTCGAATGCCGACGCGCGATACACAGCCACGATCGTTTCACCTATCCACGATCGTCCACGTACATATCGATTGTTGGATGTTCGACTCTCGAAATTCGGAGCAGGTGCAACGATTTCAGAGCGGCGAGAGAGAGAGAGAGAGAGAGAGAGAGAGGGAGGGTTCGATAGAAATCTACGTGCTTCGAATCGTATGATATGTAGCGATTAATCGTGTGCGTGGTGCACGTTTTCAAGCTATCGCGACCATGCTCGAACGCGTTCGAAACATTCGTGAGATTTGTAAAGAACTAATTTCCAAGCTCGGTTAAAAATCACAGTCAAAAGAATGCACTTCGGTAGGTAGTCGGTGTAATTCGACACGGCTACCAGAGCCGGCGCACAACGCCGAAAATGGCGTGAAAAACGAGAAGATTACTCGGTAGCCTCGCGACGCCTCGGGTCACAGAAAAACTCCATTGGGTCTTAGGCTTGGCTCGGAACGAGATACATCGATACGATCTACTCGCGGGCAGCCGCCCGCAAATACCGTTTCTCTTCTCTTTCCGCTCATAGGCCTGACAAAGCCTCGGTTAGAAGTACGCGTATGAGCGGGAGTACACGACGTTTGTCGCTCGGCTCCATTTCGCCCGTCCCATCCTCGTCGTACTCTCGGCTGCTAGCTAATAATCGCGATAGGCACCGTGATCGCACAAGAGATCGACGATGAATGCGTTCGACGGTTTGCTCGTTGACACCCCAAGACGAATTTTCCCGCTTCGATACGTCGCCAAACAACGCGAGATGGTGGTGGTAGTGGTGGTGATGGTGGTGATGGCGGTGGTGGCGGTGGCGATGGCGGTGGCGGTGGTGGTGGTGGTGGTGGTGGT